CTGAGTCAAGACCCCAAGTCAGGACCTATCACATTGCATATCCGTCTTGGGATTTTGTCGAGAACCTCGAGATGGACAGTGGGGACACCATATGATAGTAATATCCCATGCATGGACAAATGGTAGATTTACAGATACGAAGGATGGACGTAGACGAGAAAAACCTTCTGACATGACACAGAGAACCAACTTTCCTCATGGTAAATGCAGCAACTGATTTAATGTTGTTCTACTTCATGTCAGTGGAGAACGTGAGACCAAGAAGGCGCATCAAGGCAATGATTTAAAAATTCTATTGCAGCATAGATTTATCTTAACGCTATCATTTTAATTAATCCGTTCTTCATTGCTAACGGCTTATAACCACATTACGTTGGAACGCCGGTTCCTCTAAGATCACCGATATTAAGTCAAGCCTGGTCGATACTTAGATTCGTGACCGCTGGCGCCTAGCAGATTCTGTAAGCTTGATATGTGGTTGGGGTAACGGACGATAGTTCGAGGTTGTTAATGGGTAAGCAGAGTTCCAAATTCAGTTGAATGCGTTATATTCATTTACGCACAAATACTGTTGAGAAAGGTATGAATCTAACTTATCTCACCCCAGCTATGGGTTAAATAGTAAGACATGTATCACTAACCCATAACTATGTCCCAAAAATAAAATTGCTTAAAAATTATTTCGATTTCAATATTAAATAACCCATAGAGGTGTTGATATGCCGCTAAACAAAAACAACCAACCAACCATCGATTGCTAATATAGCCTTTATAAATTATTAATAATAATAATATTTCACATGGGTTTTTTTTTCAAAGAAGATTTTGCTTTATGTATTTTTATCCATCAAGTCGTACGACACCAGACATGTAGCAAAATTCACAAAATAATTGTACTGAAAATCTGAAAAACCCACAAAAAGAACAATAAATAAATGTTCTAGGGTAGAGTATATTGAAGTAATGATAGCATGTTACACTGCTACAATAAATCCAAAAACGACCTTAGCCGCCTTTAATAACTGGCAAGAAAAAATCCCTTAAACAGACTAAAAATCGATGCCAACAGACTAGCCTATCTGGTGTGATATCATCAGAAAACAAAGATTAAATGACATTAAAAGCATCCGAGAAAACATAAAAAATAGATTAAACGTTAACATTGAGAGGATAAGTGCCAACAATCCATAAGAGACACATGTAGAGCAACAAATAGAGACCAGTTGTAATAATCCCTCTCAGATATACAAGCAAACAGAGAAAGATGATGAATACAGAGATGACAAAAATCGTTCGATATAAATGGGAGAATGTAAAGGAAATGTCTTTCGCGGAAAGGTCGGCAATTCCAAAAGTAAGAAAGAACCGTCAAGTAAAGTAAAACATCAACCTTTCTAATCAAGCAGTTAGAAAAAAAAGGGACGAAATGGAAAAACGGATGAATCTGACAGAAATTAATCATCTTATATATGCAACTTCGGAAAAAATCGCAGAAATAATAGATAAAAAGTAAAAAACACGACGTAAACGTAAAAGAAAATTGCCAGTCTGGAAATAAATAATAGAAACCAAAACGAGGACAATTGTCTCTTCTAAGTAAAGTAGACAAGGGCTCCAAAATGAAAGAAAGAAAAAGGAGACCACTGAGATGAAGCCTTGACATAAAGAATAAGACTGACGTGTCAAAAGTTAAACCGAATGCATAATGAAAGAGCTACATGGATCAAGCAACAACAGGAACACACATATGTAGAGTTCCAAAAATGGACAGATATCAATATTACTGAAACAACCATTGGCATCTGCAAAATCAAAAACTGGAAAGCACCAGGAATAGACTGAATAGCCAATTGTTAGATTAAAAAAAAACTATCTATCACCCACCAAGACATCGTAGAGGGCTACAATGATATAATCATAAACCCAGAAAATGGGCCACGAAGGGAGAAACATACGTATTCCCCAAAACAGAAGAGAAGCAGAATCCGAATAACTATAGACCCATCACCTGCCTACCAACAATGTACAAGATTCTTACTGCTATCATAACCGAGAAAATATACAACTTCCTTGAGAAAAAAATAACTAACTCCAAGCAGAAACGAAGGGATGAAAAAGGGGAAGTTGCGCTGCAAGGATCAACTAATTATCAATAAAACTATATAGAAAGAGGTGAAAACAAGGAAAAGAAACTTATTTCTAGCATGAATCGATTACAGAAATGCGTTCAAATGTGTACCACTCACATGAATAAAGAGGAGTCTAAAACTATACAGAGTATGCTCCACAACGGTAAAATTAATGAGGGAGAGCTTGAAAAACTGAACGACCACACTAAACCTAAACCATACAAACGAGTCATTAACATCAAGACCAATCAACATCAAAAGCAGGATCTCCCAAGGAGATTCATTGTTACCCCTACTCTGCCTTGTATTAGCTCTACTAAGCTGCCGACTGAGAATTAGTAGCTACCGATACAAGACACTGAATCGCAAATTGAATCAACTATTCTATATTGATGATCAAGGATGACGACCTGCAGTAAAACGTACTCACCATTGTCAAAATCGTCAGCGAAAACATTAGGATGAAGTTTAGACAAATATGCCAATTCCATACTCAAAGGCGGTGAACTAAAGGAAACTACAGATTTAGACCCTGATATCAAGAACAAGATTAAGGAACTAGGCCAAGATGGTACATCCAAATACTTACTTAATGAAAGAGATGGAACACAACATTCTATAATGAAGAGAAAGATCCGAAAAGAATATTATAGGAGAGTGTGGTTGGTAATAGAAAGTGAACTTTATGGGGTCAATAAAATGAAGTTTTTTTTTTTTTAAGCATTACGCCTCGAGCAAGGCATGAAGCCACTAGGATGCAGGGGGTTGCAAAAGATTAGGAGCAAGAGCAGATAGGAGTGATAGAAGAAAAGATGAGGAGAGGGATAGTGGATACATCAAGGTAACTGGAGATGTCGATTGACATTACATTTGAATAGTTGGAGATTATAGCTCTCAGGGAAACAGTAATTGGGAAGGGTGTTCCACAGGCGAGAGGTGCGATGTATGAAGCTATTGGAGTAGAAGAGACGGCTACATTTAAAAGTTTCTACAGTGTAAGGGTGGGAGTGGGATGCCAGCCTCATAGGGCGCTTGAATTCATGGAGTCTGGGAACCAGTAAAAGCAGCTCATCGGAGTAATTACCATAAAAGTATTTGTGGAAAAGACAGAGAGAGGCGACGGCGCGTCCGTGAGAGAGTGACTGTAGACGAGATGCCAGATCAAGGCTAATTATATTACATATCCGTCTCTGGATCTTGTCAAGAACTCCGAGATAAACAGAAGGTGCCCCAGACCATATATGGCAGCAATACTCCATCAAAACCATAGCTATACTCGTAGTAAAATACAGCTTCAACATTATTAATTGGAAGTTCAATGACATTAAAAGATTGGGCACCAAGGCCAGAAAAATGCCCACCCCAATCAGGATGCACCACCAGAAATCAAATGTTTATAGGTCGTAAAAGAGAAAGCGAAACAACGTGGCCAAATGAAATTACAGCAAATCTCGGATGACAAGACGTTGCATGGCTAATACCTAAAAAGAACGAAAGAAACAGATGTGGACCAACAAAATTGTTGTAAAGTAGTTTTCCCAGTGGAGGCTTGTATTTTAATGTCGGTCCTAAAAGGATCCGACGTACAAAACGTTAGGAACTTGCAATAATAGTTAATGAGGCAGAAATCTAGTTGTGGTCATTGATACTTTCAATGTCCGACATCGACTGACTCGCTCAACACCACTGAGCCCAACTGGCGACCGCTACTACTACTACTACTTATTATGTGTGGGAGAGTCTATTACAATAGAATAGGTAATGTTCTGGTATAACAAAAACATACATCAATGGCGGGGTGAAAGCTGAGACAAGAAGGCCTAATTATTGCAGCTCAGCACCAAAGCCTCGTAACCAGATCCTAACATTGTCACATAACCAAGGACAGAACTAAACCGAAATGCAGGATCTGTGGAAAATATGATGAAACTGTCGACCATATTATCTCAGCATGTCCGGAAGTAGCAAAAAATGAATATACCCACAGACATAACAAGGTAGCGACATATCTCCACTGGAAGATATGCAAGAAGCACAAAATCGAAACCACTGAGAGATGGTATGACCACCAACCAGACACAGTTACTCAAAATAACGATGTAACTATCCTCTGGGTCATGCCAATTCAAATTGATACAGAAATTAACAAACCTGGTGATGTCATAAAACACAACAAATTAAGTGTATGCTTATTGACAGTACCATCTGAGAGAAACATCTCTATGAAAATTATCTAGAAATTGTCCAAATACAAGGAATTAGAAATTGAGATTAACATGATGTGAGAAATGAAGACTGAGACTGTACCGATAGTATTCGGAGCACTGGGCCTCATGAAAAAAGGAAGGGACAATTTTAATAACAGTGTCCCAGGTAACATCAGCATACAATTTGCCCAGAAGATCGCCCTACTAGGAACATCTCTAATTCTCATAAAAGTGCTATCAATTAAATGACAATTCTCCTATAGGGTCTAAGGAGCAGAGTTAGTAACCGGCACTACATAAAACAAAGCAGGAAATATGACATACACAAATAATAATAATAATAAGAAGAAGAAGAAGAAGAAGAAGATAAAGAAGAAGAATGTCACGAAGAAGAAGAATAATGTCAAGAAGGAGAAGAAGAATATCAAGGAGAAGAAGAAAGAAGAAAAAAAAATCAAGAAGAAGAGGAAGAAGAAGAATTTCATGAAGAAGAAGAATGTCAAGAAAAAGAAGAAGAAAAAGAATGACACGGAGGGAAGAAGAAGAAGAAGAAGAAGAAGAAGAAGAAGAAGAAGAAAAAGAAGAAGAAGAATGTCAAGAAAAAGAAGAAGAAAAAGAATGACACGGAGGAAGAAGAAGAATGTCAAGAAGAAGAAGAAGAATGTCAAGAAGAAAGAAGAAGAAGAAGAATGACAAGGAGAAAGAAGAAGAAGAAGAATGTCAAGGAAAAGAAGAAGAAAGAAGAAAAAATATCAAGAAGAAGAGGGAGAAGAAGAAGAAGGATTTCATGAAGAAGAAGAAGAATGTCCAGAAGAAGGAAAAGAATGACAAGGAGAAAGAAGAAGAATGTCAAGAAGAAGATGAAGTAGATTGACAAGAAGAAGAAGAAGAAGGAAAAGAATCTGAAGAAGAAGAAAAAAGGATGTCAAGAAGAAGAGGAAGAAAGAAGAAGAATATCAACAAGAAGAAAAATATCAAGAAGGAGAAGAAGAATTTCATGAAGAAGAAGAAAAAAAAGAATGACAAGGAGAAAGAAGAAGAAAAATGTCAAGAAGAAGAAGAAAAAATGTCAAGAAGAGGAAGAAGAAAGGAGAAGAAGAAAGTCAAATAGAAAGAAAATGCTAAAAAAGAAAAATATAAACTAGAAGAATAAAGAGGGAGAATGCCAAAGAAGAAAGAAGAAAAAAGAAAAGAAGGAGAAAATCTAGAAGAAAAAGTGAAAGAAATATTTTAATGAAAAGCGAAAAGAATATTTTGTACATTTATTATTTTTATTTTAAGCCGTAAAGCAAGAAATTAATAATGTAGAAACAACAGCCACTACTACTAATACTATTAATTCCATTGCTACTATTACTACTACTGCGTCGCCGCCCCCACCTACCAAAAAAGAAATAAAATTATACAAAAAAAAAAGAAAAGTACAATGAAGAGGAAGTGAAGAGGTAAGAACAAATCTAGTTTTTTTTATGTGTTTAGTATTTATTCTTTTTATTAAACAAAAGTCCTAGATTGTTTTGGTTTTTATATTTTTCACTTACACAAGCGACCTTGGAAGGAATTTAGTGAATCGGAACAGGAAATGAATGCTAGGACTGTTGGGAAATTTAAGCTTCCTCCATTTTGTACAAGTGCTACTTTTTTTTTTTAATATTTACATTGTAGTTTTAATTTCTTAATTTTTACATTTTATATTTTTTTGTATACATTTTTCTTTTGCGTGTGTGAGACGGAACTCTGTTCTTGTGTATGGATACCATTTATTTTATTCTTCCTTCATTTAAAGAGTATTTTCTTTCTATCCATTTTTTTTTTTTTTTTTTTTTTTTTGTTTTATTCAGCGTTAATCGGGGAAGTGTTGTCCCTACGAATCTAATATGCTTTATTCTTTTTTTCTGCGAAGGTTAACATTAATCCATTGCGTTATTTAACGCAAAAGGTAAGCCAAAGAGTAAACGATTGTCAGTAGACAAAGGCACCGCCTCCTCAGTTTCATGAACATCTATAGAACATGCCGAAAAGCCCTTGAGAATGAGAACATATTTCTTCTGTTTATATGTCACGTCCTTTTAAGAACTGGGTGATCATGGCTCTCTACCACTTCCTGATATTTTGTAGGCTCACGTAACATCTGACATTTTGCCGTTACCTTGACCTTCTTGAATGACAATCATTCAAATTTGAGTATTTTACCGATTGATTCCAGTTCCTTTATCTGCATTCACTATATGCCGTCTTACTACAAAATGTTTCTCAGTAAATTTTCAGCTTCATTCTCATTATCAACATTGTGTCTGTCTGTAAATGTCTCTTTCTGATTATAAACGTTGTTTCTGTCTGTAAATGTCTGTTTCCGATTATCACTATTATTTCTGTCTGTAAATGGCATATTCAGATTATAAATATTGAGTCTTTAAGTGGCTTTTTCTAATTATCAATATTTTGTCTGTCTGTAAATGTCCCTGTCTGATTATAAACGTTGTGCCTGTCTGTAAATATCTGTTTCTGATTATCAATGTTGTGTCTGTCTGTCAATGGCTCTTTCAGATTATACATATTTTATCTGCCTAAAATGGCTTTTTCTTATAATAAACATTGTGTCTGCAAATGGCTTTTCCTGGCAATAAACATTGTGTCTGTAAATGGCTCTTTCTGATGATGAATATTGTGTCTGTCTGTAAATGGCCCTTTCTGATTATAAACGTTGTGATCGTCTATAAATGTGTCTTGCTGATTGTCAACGCTGTGTCTGTCTGTAAATACTTCTTTCTGATTAGAAATACTTTGTTTTTAAATGTCTCCTTCTTACGAATGTCTACCTGCAAATATCTCTTCCCATTATCAAATTTGTGTCTGTCTGCCTGTAAATGTCTCTTCCCGGTTATCAACATCGTGTCTGTCTGTAAATGTCATTCTTTTATTATCAGATTTATGTCTGTTAATGTCTATTTCTGATTGTCAACATTATGTCTGTTTGTAAATGTCTCCTTCTCATTATCAACGCGGTGTCTGTCTGTAAATGCTTCTTTCTGATTTACAACCCATCCTGGGTATAGCGATAAACTACATCCGCGTCCTGGGCACGACGATAAATTACATCCAACAGCGAGGTCTCTGATCAGGAGGTTTTGAGGAGCGTGGAACCACTTTTTAATTGCTTGTGTTCCCAGGTTCACTCTGACCCGGTGTAGTAGCACCTGTTAGGGTCCCAGCTATGGGCAAATAGTTATCCTCCCAAACTAGGATCAAAGTATTATGAAAGTGTAAAAATAGGTTTTAAAAAAATATGTAAAATATTATTACCAGCAATTAATTTATGAATGAAAATTTATTACCAGAAATACATTATTACCAGCAATACATTTTTGGAAAAAATATTACCAGCAATAAAAATCTCGTTGGCATTAAACAGCTCATTGAGGTTTATATACCGTAAAACAAACCAAACCAAACCAGCAATTAAAATATTGTCGGCACTAAATAACCCATTGAGGTGTTGATATGCCATAAAACAAACCAAACCAAACCAAACCAGCAATAAAAATCTTGTCGGCATTAAATAACCCATTGAGGTTGGTATGCTGTAAACCAAACCAAACCAAAACAAACCAAACTAAACCAAACCAACTGATTAACAACGTGGGGTATATCTATAATGACTCTTACCGATTGTTAACGATTTGTCTGTAAATGCTTCTTTCTGATTAAAAATGGTTTGTCTGAAGGTAAAATGGTCGACGCCGTATTAGTCTGTAAATATCGCTTTCTGCTTATCAAATTTGCATCTGTCTGAGAGACATAATTTTAATAAGAAGAAGTGTTGATAATCAGAAAGACCTATTTACAGACAGACAAAACGTTGGTAATCAGAAAGAGAGATTTACAGACAAACAAAATATTGATAATCAGTAATTGCCGTTTACAGACAGACAAAATATTCTTAGTCAAAAAGAGTCATTTACAGTTTATGGCTCTCCATAGAATTGTATTTTATTTCACTCGGCAATATTTGATCTTTTCTGAGGCTTCTTCCATGTGTGGTAATTTGTCCCACAATTTCCCCTTCTTCACTTGACTTACTTTACCCTATGAGTATTAAGATCTGAAAATCTTCTTTTCTAATTGTGCGCCAGTATTTTTGTTTAATCTGTATCACCCCACCAAGCATGGCAATAAAGCTACTAAGGTTTACAGAATGTGAAAGAATTAGGAACAGAAACTGAACGAGAAGAGACAAGAGTAATCAAAAGGACAGTAGATAGCGATTGAAATTGCATTTAAATTTTTGCAGATTAAAATTTGCTGCAAAGTATGGAGCCAGAAGAGAGTTCCACAAGCGAGAGGTGCGAGAGAAGAAACTGTTAGCATAGAACTTACGGTTACATCTAGCCAGTTCACCTGTAAATTGAAGATATCTCGACGCCAATTAAGTACTGTGCATAAATGAAACAAATTCTACGCACCATTGCGAAGAGCGATATTTAAATATATAAAAATACAAAATATGGCACAAGGCCAAAATGGAGAGTGGGATAAAAAGTTTGGTCTTCTGTGTTATAATTAAACTTAGCTAATCACTGACCCAAACATACGATAATATTTCTTACACCAAAACAACGCATTCTTACTTACCATGCTTACTACATTCACCATAATACCACAGAATTTCCATGAAGTCCTAAATAGACCCCATATGTAGAATTCTTGTCAGTGGGTCGAGGGGAGGGAATATAACAAGAATTTAAAATCTAAATCCCATTAATATAGCGAAGAGCTCATCGAACAATTACCGTCAATGTTTTAATCATATATATATATATATATATATATATATATATATATATATATATATATATATATATATAATATTAGTGGAAAATATACACATATGCAAAATATATATAAAAAATTCCCATACATGTATATTTTCAGAAAAAATTTTCCAAGAGGAAGGATCCAGGTAGAACTCAATGTCTAGGACAGAGTAAGGATATAATAAAAAGGCTTAAACACTAATATTCCATGGTCATATTTAATTCCACTGGAATCGTAAATACGATCCAAATCATCAGACCTACAAATTCAAAAAGAAAACAGAAAAAAAAATCCGGAAATCAAAACAGAATTTAGAGAAAGTGTAAGTATGAGGAGGAGTTGTTTTTTTCTGTTTTCATTTTGAATTTGTAGGTCTGATGATTTGGATCGTATTTACGATTCCAATGGAATAAATTATGACCATGGAATATTATGTTTAAGTTTTTTTATTATATATATATATATATATATATATATATATATATATATATATATATATATATTTAAATAAAACAGACTAATTTAGGTTCCATGTAATAAATTATTTCACCACCGTTTAAATGTGTCAATATCTGCTAACTCACTCATGTCTTCTCTCTCTCCCCCCTCACTTTCTCACTTCGTTAATTTACATATGTTTAATACGGCCCGTCAAAAATGTGTCATTTATTTTCATTTTTTGTTTGGAAGTAAAGTCTGATGATCCGCAGTCCTTTTAAAAGGGCTCTGGTGAAATAATTTATTACATGGAACCTTAAAGTGGTCTGTTTTTATTTAAATTATTTGCTCTGGATCTTACTAATATAAAGACCCCTTTCCGATCACCTATGAAAAAAGTTTATTCACCCTAAGGTATTCTATTGATAATTATAAATTTGGATATAAATGAGATTCAGGAAAAAATCTGTGCAAAAAAAGTGACTCATATATCGCATTCTAATGATTAAACTGGTAATTTTAAAGAGCTTTTGAAAAAATATTGAAAACTATTTTACAATACGCTCAGAACAAATTGAATTCTAGAACAGCTTAAATTAAATCTAGAGTATTCCAGAATATTCCAGAAAGCCTCATACAGTATTAAAAAAAAAAAAGCTTGAAATAGCCACTCCGTACCACTTTTATCGAACAGTACTGTATTTATAGATAAGGCAAAATGTTCATAACCTTACGGCGGTGGGAATGTGACCGAAGACGAGATGCCAGATCAAGACCAATATTACTGATTCTGCTTTGGGTTTTATCAAAGCGCTCAAGGTACCGTAATTCCCCATTTATAATAAGCCTTCATCCATAGTACTCACCCCTAAAATTGTGCTGAAAGTGTTGGAAAATATTTCTCCTCACGCATAATACGCACCCCTTGTTTGGTAATCAAACCCTATAAATTGTACCTCTCCAATTTCATTACGGCCAGCGTTTCCTACTCTCATTAAAAAATGGTTTTAAACATAGAATAATATTATTCTAATTTAGTTTTATGATAATTCTTGTTATTTTACATTTGTAAGTATTGTTAGGTACATATGATTGTATTTGACATCTTTATGGGGTCGCAATCACCGAATGTTAGTGTCAAATTGTCGTATGTTTGTAGCGAGTAGTCATTTTGCAACTGAAATCGACCCATGGAACGGCAATATTTAAAGATGTTTTTGTAGCTATGCATACGACGCACTCATAATTTTGCTTTTTATTGTTTAGTAAAAAAAGCGTATTATACATGGGGAATTTCAGTAAATAGCAGGAGCACCGAACCATATTTGGCAGCAATATTCTAAGATGGAGGAATGGTAGGCTTCTATATATGTAAGATAACCTGTCTCTTTCTGATTGAATATTTCCTTTAAGTACTTCTTTTCCTTAAAACCCCCTCGTTGTAGATATGTTCCGTCCATGGAAGTTTCGGCATTCGTCAGTGAAAACCCAAATTTCTATCTCTTCAATTACGTCATCAGGAAAGAGAATGTCCGGCATTTGGAATAAGACAAGACAAAAACGTGACACACCAATTGTGCGATTTTTTTCTTCTTTCGAGCAATATTTTCCTCTCTCTTTATGCCATACTTAATTTCTTAAAAACGTCTTTCACTGTTACTCTGCGTCGTTTGATTTCTAAGTCAGCCTTTTTGCCGTTTTATTTACTAATTATTTCCTAACAACAAATTACATGTTGGATTTTGATGTCCCAAATATGTCACTCACAGAATAGGCTGTCACTTTTGACGATAGACATATTTTTTAATAGTTCATTCTATAACGTTTTATTTTTACATTGTATAAGAATTCTTTCAATATTTGCTATCAGATCTGTCATCAATCCGATGTTAAGTGCGAGAGGTGTAAGAGTTTCCATCTCTTCATCATCACCTCTTTGTTTTGGTTTGCTTTATTTCGTCTTATAGCATATCAACACCTCAATGAGTCAATTAATGCAAGATTTTGAGGCTAGGTTCGTATGAAAAGAATATATATTCTTTATAAGCAATCAGTTTGTAGTCAGATTTCATTGACGTATTTTTGCAAAGAGGGTTTTTGTCGATCTTTTGAAATCTGGTATTTTTTAAAACAAATGTATTCTTACTATTAAAATCTATTTTTATACTTTCATGGTGTTTTGTTTCAAGTTTGGGGGGGGTCACTATTTGCACATAGCTGGGACCCCCTAACACTCCGAGTCAGGGTGGACCTGGGAATGACAATTAAGAGATGGTTTCACGCCCGTCAAAACCTACAGATCAGAGGCCTTGCTGCCAGATGTAGTTTATCGTCATACGCAGGACGACTGAACTCCTTAGTCAGATTTCAAAAATTATAATGGAATCATGTGATCCATTACGGTCATACGGTCACAATGGAAGCGGTATTTCTTGTGCAAGATAGCTTGACGGAGACTAACACGCTCCAGACCGGTTTGAATTCAAAATCTTCCTTCACCTAGACCAGTTACCACCTAAGACTGTCCTGCTATTTACCCATATCTGGGGGAGAAGAGGATCCATAACTCTCCCAAGGGTATTGGCACGTGAACGGCTGGAATTCGAACTCGGCTCTTTGATTCCTCAAATCCGAGCCGTTATCCATTGCTCCACCATCTACACAAATAAATGCATTCCTCCGCTACTTGGGTAAATTAACGTGAGGCAAGAAGAGGCAGAAATAATAAAGAGACAAACGTACTGCAAAAACTGATAGGAAGTTGTGGAGACCCATTATCGCCCAAGTTCTGATGGGACACTTAAAAATGGGTAATCGACTATGCACCTCTCAGGAATCTACAGTGCTGTTCGATAAAAGTGACTCACCTTATCCTTTGAATTTAGCTCAACTTTCGTTTCATCGGAGAAGAGAACATTCTTCCAGTCTTCTACGGTGAAATTTTTGTAATAGTCAGCCCATTCAAGTCTCTTGGCTTTTTTGGCTTTGCTTATTAGCGGCTTAAACCTTCGTGTACAAGATTTGTAGCCTTGTTTTACCAAGATTTGTAACCTTGTTCTGAAGGGCTGTTGAAGAGGCAAGACTAACACTTTGCTCTTCACTTAGACTGGCTGCAATTTCTTGGCCAGTTATAGTCCTATTCTTCGCAACTTCTCTCTTGATTACCCTGCCAGTTCTATCATCAATCTTTTTCTTTCGTCCCCTTGTTTCCTTCCTTGGAGCAGGAGTGGCATCATTATGTGCCCTAAGCACTCGAGAGACAGTTGATTGCGAGGTTATAGCAATTTCTCTCGTAGACTTGCCAGCTTTTGAGAGGGCAATAATAGATGCCTTAAGTGGTTCTGATGCGTGTTTGTACCCTTTCATCTGGTTAGTGATTTGAGTGGCTATTTCAAGTTGTTTTTATACTGTATGAGGCTTTCTTGAATATTCTGGAATATTCTAAATTTAATTTAAGCTGTTCTAGAATTCTCTAGAATATTGTTCTGTGTGTATTGTAAAATAGTTTTCAATATTTTGTCAAAGGTTCTTTAAATTTACCAGTTTAATCATAAGAATGCGATATCTGAGTCACATTTGTTTGCACAGAGTTTTTTCCTGAATCTCATTTTTATCCAAATTTATAATTATCAATAGAATACCTTAGGGTGACTAAACTTTTTTTTCTAAGTGGTCGGGAAGGCGTCTTTATATTAGTAAGAGCAAAAATTATTTTGACACCAAAAACAATAGACAAAAAATATTTTTAGTAAAATAAAAAAGGTGAGTCAATTTTATTGAACAGCACTGTATAAGAATAGAACATTTCATCACCAACGATCAGACACTCAACTTAACCCTTTGAGCCGTGAGTTCCGGAATAATTTTAACCCTTCTGCATGACTTACTGAGTAAGAATTTGCAAATAATTAGTATGCAATGTTTTACGTTAGATATAAAAATAGTTACAAGTGTTTACCCACCGTTCAACCGGTGTCTGGACATTACGTCTCTACCACCGATAAAGCGATGTTCAGGTCTCAACGGGTTCAACAAGTCATGATTTAATATTACATGTTCAGGATGATTCAAGTTCAAACCAGGCATCTCAATATATACGAACCCCTGCCATAGATGCTGGAAAATAATCGACTCCTTGTACCAATCTAGAAAACACCTGAATCTAACTCTCATTATGTACACTATTTATATTATTCGGACTATTGTCCTCATCTTTGTCGCCATATTTATTACAACGTTTCGGCCTTTCAGTATCTGTCTATATTTCTGAGATGAGGTATTATGTACACAATTTACATTATTCGGACTATTGTCCTAATCTTTGTTGCCATATTTATTACAAAGTTTCGGCCTTTCAGTATCTGTCTATATTTCTGAGATGAGGTATTATGTACACAATTTACATTATTCGGACTATTGTCCCAATCTTTGACGCCATATTTATTACAACGTTTCGGCCTTTCAGTATCTGTCTATATTTCTGAGATGAGGTATTATGTACACTATTTACATTATTCGTACTATTGTCCCAATCTTTGTCGCCATATTTATTCCAACGTTTCGGCCTTTCAGTATCTGTCTATATTTCTGAGATGAGGTATCATGTACACTATATTATTCGGACTATTGTCCTAATCTTTGTCGCCATATTTATTGCAACGTTTCGACCTTTCAGTATCTGTCCATTTTTCATTAAAACTTCATTAATTAACCTGCTAAATTAAATGGCGCTTGGGGCTTCTGGGTAAGAAATAACGGTATTAAAAATAAATTATCGTCGTTTACGTTCCATAGATATCTATCCGCCATGTCCTCTTGAAATTCTCTTCCTATTTCCTCGTCTTATGTTCACTCTTAGGTAACGCTCTACACTGAGTGGCTCTTGGATTTTTCAGTAGATGAGCAAGAACGAGAAAAAAAAATACCTCTCTAAAATATGATCGGCGCGTGGCGTGGGGTGGGTAGACCGTTTGTGTCCAGCTTATCATCACTGAGCACGGAGGGAGCTGCTAAATCACTGTTCATGGCTTTCAAAAATAACAAGCTAAAAACAACAGGCTTCCCTCAAAACTGGTAGATACATAACACCGTAAATAAAGACACGCCACTAAAACTCTGTTCCTGCATTTTCCAACCTGTTTGGATGAGGAGCCTCGAAGCGACTACGCGAAAACACAATTTTCTCCAAAGCCATTTGCAACACGTATTAATTAAACAAGTTCTAAGTTGTTTACAGAAGGCATGCCTTGTAAATATGATTGTTAAGTATTTGATGCATTTCTTTGCTGCTAAAAAAGAAAAAAAAGCAGGAATAGATTATTAAGAAGAAAGCAACTGCCTGAAAACAAATAAAGGTTCAAAACTTTAATTCTATGATCTTTAACGACAATGACCTTTTAAATATTGATTGATATTTTCAACAAATGTTTTGGATTTTACAAATTACATTTAAATGATTCCTTCAAACGAGTATCATTGTGTTTGTCTTTTTGAGCGCCGCGATAGGGTTTCAAATGTCTTACTATCGGAATGCATTGCAAATAGCTTACAAGGGAAATGGATTGCAAATGAGTTACTATAAAAATGCATTATTTCATGATTTATTCAGACTAGTATCCTCATCTTTGTTGTTTTCATCACAAATGTCTTACTATAGGAATGCATTGCAAATAGCTTATAAGGGAAATGGATTGCAAATGAGTTACTATAAAAATGCATTATTTCATGAATTATTCAGACTAGTATCTTCATCTTTGTTGTTTTGATCACAAATATCTTACTATAGGAATGCATTGCAAATAGCTTACAAGGGAAATGGATTGCAAATGAGGTTACTATAAAAATGCATTATTTCATGAATTATTCAGACTAGTATCCTCATATTTGTTGTTTTGATCACAAATGTCTTACTATAGGAATGCATTGCAAATAGCTTATAAGGGAAATGGATTGCAAATGAGTTACTATAAAAATGCGTTATTTCATGAATTATTCAGACTAGTATCCTCATCTTTGTTGTTTTGATATGGAATGCATTGCAAATAGCTTACAAGGGAAATGGATTGCAAATATGTAACAGCAAAGGTTGAATTTAATTATTTAGATGCGTATGATCAGCAACTGTTTTTACCAGTGCTCATACTGGAATTTTTCTGTTATTATTATTGCAATATGAGCACTAGTTAAAAGTATAGTTGCTGAGACATTAGGTTTCTAAGTTCCAAAAATTCATGCATAGATGTCCGAAAGGCCAGATGGCCTTGTGGATAAAGACCTTGGTTAAATAGAGTTGTGAGTTCAATACCAACCCACAGCAGTGGGAATCAATACTTGGGGAGTTGAAATAACTGAGACATCCAGAAGAGGCATGGCACGTGGAATGAAATAAAGGGTCCGATTCGAAATTGTAATCACCTGAAGAAAGCCGGAGCGTACAACGGCCGAATATGGAGATAACAGTCCGAATAATGTAAATAATATATGTTATTGTCATTACAAAAAAAATGCACAGTTATGCTTATTTATTTGTTTGAATGATTCCACTGTAAAAACAACTTTGTTTAGCGGCATATCGACACCATTATGCGTCATTTAATGCCGAAATTTAATTTTCTTGGGGGCGTTGAAATAAGAAAAATAAGATATATGTTATTGTTATATCTCGTGCTAGATATAATAAACAAAGTAAACCCGAGTGTTGGTTTTCAATAATAATTTTATAATCGGATGTAGGTATGTCAAAAAGCTAACCTCAGTAAGTGTTAACAAACGAAGACCTTTTCCTCACTGTTCGCTGTGGTCGTACTTTATCGGCAACCAGTCCGTCCATTATCGTGAATGGGGAAATTGGGTTATATCATCACAACAGTTATATTAAAGGGGATCTCTCAAAAAAAGGTAATTTAGTAAATTTTCTTTAATTTTTTTGAATTTTCGTTATAGTTATTTGAAACAAAATCAATGGATAGATCATTTTAAGTACAGGTGCACGATCAGTAAACTGATTTTTACTTATCGAACTAAAGAACTCTGGAAAATTTCTTGACATTTTTCATTTTTTTTTATGATATACTAAATCTAAAATTTCCTGTATTTTGTGGGGTACCCTCTACTTCACAATTGAATACATGTTAGATGATACTCAGTTTTTGTCTATACACATGTTTGTCGGCATTAAATAACCCATTGCTGTTGATATGCCGTAAAACAAATCAAACCAAACACACACATGTGATTGATTGATTTGTCTGCTTAACGACATACCAACTCCTTATGGGTAATTTAATACCGAAATTAATTTTTTTCGTAGCTTGGAAGTAATAAAAATATGATATATATTGTTCTGATTTCACAATTGAATACATGGTAGACGATACTCAGCTTTTGTGCATATACATGTTTGTGTGGACATGATTACTAGAAGAGAAGATATGTATATTTTGTAGTTTTTTAAGTTATATTTTGGAATACAGTCTGATTTCTTTAAGAAATTGTAGGATATTATGTGAATAAATGACACGAAAGTTCTTTTATGTTGGTTGTTCGTTAGCATTTTAAACAGATTTCGGTGAAGTCACTATAATTTGTTAGTATGTGCGTATTGTTGGTAATTTATTTATATAAAAATCTATTGTTAGTATTTTTACTATAAAAATGTATTCTCATGCTTTGATTGTGTTTTGTTTGTGGGGTTCATTATTTGCCCATAGCTGGGACCCCAACAGGTGCTACCACCACAGGTCTGGTGGGACCTGGGAACACCAGTAATTAAGAGGTAGTTCCACGCTCTTCATAACCTAAAATCTCAGGATTAGAGGCCTTAATACAGGATGTAGTTTAACGTCATACCCAGGATTAACACACACACACACTTATATATATATATATATATATATATATATATATATATATATATATATATACATGCATATATATACACATATACCATCATCATCATCTTGCGGCCTCAAGGCTATAGAAGCCAGTCTGTCCTGCTATTTACCCATAGCTGGAGGGAGAAGAAAGTGGATTCACACATTTCCCAAGGGTGTTAGCACGTAAGTGAATATAATGGATTTGACTCTCCAATTCCTCAATCCAAGCCGCTATCCATTACTCCACCGTGTCTCCTCTTTAAACACATATACACAGACACAGACACAGACACACACACACACACACACACACACACACACACATATATATATATATATATATATATATATATATATAAAATATATATATATATATACGTAACTACACTCGTCTTCGAAAACCTTCGGTTTCTTGATTTGCTAATGGTCAAATCAATCTCGAAGGAAAAAAGGTTTTAAAAAAAGAAAGAGCTAGGAACATGAACGTCTGTCGAAAATGATCGTACAGTATACAGGTCCAAAGCCCAAAGGAAAAAAACGATACGATTAATCAACTAACTTAAAAGTGCTCAATACAAAAGTAGAGCGGATCGTCAGGGAAAGCTGACGAAAACCTTGAAACCATGGTAGGTTTGACTATATATATATATATATATATATATATATATATATATATATATATATTCTTTCATATTCTTTCATATTCTTTGTTTGGTTTTTTTGATTTTGTTTAGTAGCATATCACCACTACGGGTTATTTAATGACGAAATTTAAATAATTTAATCACAGTTTTATAAAATTAAGGAAATATATTTTGAATGCAATTTTAATCCTTCAACTAAAGATAAAATGTATTGCTGGTAATCTTACTTTAAAAATGTGTTATTGGACATTTTACTATAAATATGTATTGTTGCTTATTTTTTTTAAATAAAAACATTTTGCTGGTATTTTTACTTTAAAAATGTTTTCTTATTCTTCCTTTGTATTTTGTTTTTGTTTGGGGTTTACTATATGCCCATAGCCTGTACCCTAAAACGTGCTACCACCCCGGGTCAGGGTGGACCGGAGAACAACAGCAATTAAGAGCTGGGTCCAGGCTTTTCAAAACCGCTAATCTTCCGATCGGAGCCCTTGCCACCGGATGTACTTTACTTTCATATCCAGGACCTTTAAACAAAGAAAATGAGGAAGAAAATCCCATCAGTACTAGAAAGCGCGATAACAACTAGCGAACTTAAGAAACCTCTTTTCTTGAAGATTCTGTTGGAATTTTTGGGTAGTACTAGTGGGCCAGCCAAAATGAGCTGACTCATTTTACAGTTCACCAATAGAAGGATTAACCAATCAGAAGGCTCAAAATATTCAATGCGACGTGTATAAAAGCGGCCATGTTTTTTTTCCGAATATTCACTGGCAGCCTTTGTTATCGAAGACTGAAGAATTACGGAACAGCTGCTGGTGGTATTGGCGATATAGTAAGATTCAGTAGAGTGTCTGACTCGTGAGTGTTAATCTTTAACGTTGTTTCATTGAACAGATTACGTACTTTGCTATATTCTATATTCATAGACTATGGTGAACATGGTTAACAGTTTGGTGAGCAAGTTTTTTTTTTTAAATTTAAACCGAAAGACTCAAGGAATGTTGAATGTTTCCATATGAGGAAACGGTTAAACTGTAATTGTTATATTTTGTAACAATATATGTCAAGTTGAGATCTTGTTAAAGTTAAAACGTCGGGACCTGTCGCACAACTCGATACGGAACATTTACTTTCTAGCGATCAGTAATTGGAGTCAACTTCAAAGTACAAGAGCAAGAGGCTCAGACTCGGAAGGAAGATAAATTACATTTGTAGACGAAGATTACAGAACAAAGAAAACTGCTGTCTATAAAACTGACCATCATGCGAAAAGGAAAACAAAAAAACGAATGGGCGTCGCAGAAAGATATAGACGACGACAGCTGAACTACGAACCTTTCCCCTCACGTACACCTCTACCCTACTTTGCACGCTTACAGCAGTAAGTTACTACCTAATTACTGCTAGAAATTGCTTTGTCCTTCACTCGCGGGTAACCATCTGGCCGAAGGGTAAATTTTAAGCCACAAATGCTTAACTAAAAGAAACTGTACCCTGTCAACGAACCTGGTGTCTGATTTGGACTGTAGCAGAACTATTTCATAATTAACCTATATACTTGTAGTCATGTTCAGCAGTGACTGCTTTGTCTTTCCAGACAGTGGTATTGTGGTGGTCCTTTGGGTGGGAATGATTTCTTTCCATTGTTCATAACACAATGGTTGCAGTGGTTTTAATTTCTTTTAATTAAGTTTATTTTACTTGAGAGTATTGTCATCAAAAAATTTCAGTTTCTTTTTTTTTCTGAAACTCAAATCATGAACTGCGATACAATGGATATTCTATCATAGACCAAAATAAAATTCCCAAATTAAAAAAAAAAAAAAAAAAATTCGGTGCACAGTGTTGCCAATTTATTTGTTGAAATGATTTCACCGTAAAGACAACTGTCTTTGATCAGATTTCATAGACCGACGCTACAGAATCACAAAGAACGTAACCAAATTTTTCAACAACAGCAACAAAACTGAATAGAACATATAACTAATATATATATATATATATATATATATATTGATTATGTCCTTATTTTCTCTTATATATATAAGAGAAAATGAGGACATAATCAAGATGTTGACTTTCCTTGTGACTTGATGGATTGGTTTACTTGTTTAACGGCATATCAACTCTTCATGGGTCATTTAATCAAGCTATTTTAAATTGCACGCAAACTTTATGAACATCCTATGCAAGTGAATATAAATTGTTGTAACCTAGAAAGGCTTATTGAGTAAGTAATAACCAAAATGGAGGTTGGAAATGAAATGGTAATCGTGAAAATATCAACAAAATACAATACTCGACAGCGTCGTGATGTAGGTAAACCACTGCTAGCGGTGGACTAATTAAACAGCATATCCCCCCACTTTACAATAGTGTCCGACGTATTTATGAGGATTAGGACATACCCATTTGTGTTCATGTATACGGTATATAATAGATAGATAGATAGATAGACAGATAGATAGACAGACAGAATGGGATACATAGATAGTATTGTAACCTAGGAAAGGTTACTGAATGAGAAATAGCCAAAAATCTTTATAATATCAACAAAATACAATACTCACCAGCGGCGTGAAGAAGGTAAAACACTGCTAGCGGTGGACTACTTAAAGTGCATACTACCCCCTACAACAGTGTCCGACATATTTATGAGGATTGGGACGTACCCATTAGTGTTCATAGGTACGGTATATAACGTAAATAAATATACTATTTAATAAATAAACGATTTTAATAAATAAATAAATAAACTAACAGATGCCAACCTACATATATCAAGTCATCCCATAAGTTCTGTCTGAATTTTGAATAAAGAAAACAAGTGACCAAATGTTACATTTAATTACACATTCAATCAACAATGTATTTTCCCTGATTATCTATGACTCCCTTCCATCTATTAACAAGCTTACTATCAGGTCATCCCATAAGAAGGTGGGAGGACGAAAGACTTCCAAAAATGGAAAATAATAAATTTTCCTGACCGAAAACAAAGAAGTGGATTGTGGATTTAGAATTATCAAGGAACCTCAAACCCCGACAAGCCCACCCCGGTTTTGGTCGACGTCCATATAAGCAGAGTCGCAGCGAGTGAAAATCCGTTAAGTGAAGTTGAGTTAAGTTCGCAGTTGAGTGGAGTTGAGTTGAGTTAAGCAGCTGCAGTGAGCTGAGAGCTCTGAAGACCCACCTCGCAGATAGCTGACTTGAGATTCGCGCATCACGACCTCAACTTCTAACGAGGAACAATTTATTTTTGAAGAACGACTTAGACTCACACCACCAAAACAAGTTTTACGAATATCGCCTGAAGATACACCAAGAACCAGTTTCTTAAAGAACAAACAACTTAAGATGTTAAGACTCGCCTAACAAACACAAAGTGTCACGAATCTATATAGCGGGTTGGGAAGAAGACACTGTCCTGTATTAAGCAACAAGATATAAAATATTGTTATCCTTTTTTTAACACATTTGAACTTTTCGAGTTGTTACTTTATTTATTTTTAACATATACTTGGGCGATATTATCCTTGTCCGGACTCAGCTTGCATTACGGCCCGGCGACTGATTGATTTAGTCTACCTAAGATCAAATCACAACGTGGGTAGGTTAGACTAGAGATCAAAACAGTTACTTCGGTAAGCAGACGTTGGAGGCGAGCTGGGAACGACAAGGCTGATGCCGAATCTAACCAGATTCCCATCCGAATCAGCAAAAGGTTAGAACGTCACATTTGGTGCCGCGACCAATACCAAGTCACATTGGTCGTCACAAGACAGGATAGGACGGCGACGGCGCGGAGACAGACGGAGTGACGTCACAATTGGCGCCGCGACTAGGACAGCACGGCGGGCGCGACAGGCAGACGTCACGATTGGCGCAGCGACACCGGGGGACGTCACACTGGAGTAACAAGTTGCCGCTCACGTTTCACGTGCGATTTCGTTTTCAAATCTTTTTTTTCATTGCTCTTATGCCTGCCATGATTGAAACTCCTTTCTCACAACTTATGGATTGAGCTTGATCTTTTCTATATCGATCGCTTTAGCTCTAAGTTGAAATCGTTATCCCTCTTCCTGTTGTGACCTCCTGATCTATTGTTCCCTCGCCGTTATCTTCATGGTTTTTTAATGGACTTTAAAGATGGATGCCAGTGTATTAATATTGGCGCCATTGCTGAAGGCTTAAATGATCTTTTTCCTCTCACCATTGCTCAGTTGAGTAGTCAGTGGGTCGGACACAAGACTATTTTAACCTGTCCTGTTTTTAGCTGAATAACTCAAACGGTTTTTCAGCAATTCTTACGAGAAATGCTCTCACGATGGCTAAGTATTTTAACTGAACACTTGGGAAAAAAGAAATACAATTAGTCTAGTGTTGTTTTTTTTGTTTTTTTAGATATTAAACATTTTGTGTGATGGATAATTTATGCTGTTACACGATTTGGACGATTTTTCTGTTACACTCTGTATGTTCTTGCAAATTTATAAATCTTGCTTTCGTTCGTGGATCGTATATTTCTCGACAAAAATCGGAAGAAGGGTTTGTAATATTTTCAGTCCTGTTCTGGCATCTCGACCTCAGTTACTTACCCATCGCCATAATATGGCTTCTCTCGCTCATTTCTATAAGTATTTTCTCAGACAATCTAATGAGCATTCCTCATTTGCATATCGTCCGCATGGATCTCGGCGTATTCTTCGATTGTCAATTAGGACTCATAGTTTTACTGCAGAAATAGCAAGATATAACCGTAATTTCTATAGTAATATTTTCTTTTCTCGCACTTCCCCACCATCGGAATCTTTTTCCACTTTGTTGTTTCCTTGCCTCTTAAAATCTTCCAAAAAATTATATGCGACGTCAATCGCTATCTTATTTTTCTGAAACATTTAACGTCTTTTCTCCTCAATAAAGTCTTCATATTCTCTCCCGTTCCAGTAAACCCCCGTGCGTCTTAGCGGCATTATCGCCTTGCTTGGGTGTGAAGTGATTAAAAAAAAAATACTGTGTTACTCAAGGAGTACGGCAAATAGAGCGAGACAAATGATGATGTTGCGTTTGTTTTATTGTAAATTATTTCATGTCCGAAATATAATTCTGTCTGTAAAATGCCCAGTCTGTCTAACTATTTATTTATCTCTCTCTCTCTTTCTGTAACTATCTCTTTCTTTCTCTCTTTCTGTAACTCTCTCTCTTTCTCTCTTTCTTTTTGTAACTCTCTTTCTCTTTCTCTCTTTCACACACACACATATGTTTATATCACAAAAAATGTGTTGAGGGTTTTTGATTTGTATTCAGTACATTCGTGTAGCAGCCCAAATCCCTAGGCGAATAAAATAATTTGCAAGTTCCTTTCTCGCTGCAATTTATTCAACTTTCATGGCTTGAAGATATGTTGCCTGCTATCAATTAGGGACAAAATTAGATTACAAATAGTGGGGGGGGAATTCCAACAGATAAATGAACAGGTAGATAGAAAGAGACAGAGATAGTGAATAAATATAAGTAAAAAGAAAGAAATAAAGAAAGAAAGGAACATAGATAGATAGATAGATAGATAGATAGATAGATAGATAGATAGATAGATATGAACAAACCGAGATAGCTAGATAGATAGATCGATAATAAACAGACCGGGACAGCTAGATGGATAGATAGATAGATAGATAGAGAGAGAGAGAGAGAGAGAGAGAGAGAGAGAAGATATGATCCAACTGAGGTCGGTTGACTGAGGAACATATCGATACAGATAAGGACAGAGAGAGTGAGAGTAAGAAGGAGATAGATAGATAGATAGATAGATAGATAGATAGATAGATAGATAGATATATGCAGCATTAAACAGGTACATATAACTTTGTATTTTGACTCTTCTACCCTTTTCATTCTCTGTCCGACTCTCTACATCTATCTATCTATCTATCTATCTATCTATCTATCTATCTATACACACACACACACACACATATATATATATATATATATGTGTGTGTGTGTGTGTGTGTGCGTGTGTCTGTGTGCGTGTGTGTAAACTGAATAAACTCATTTATAAATATAGATTTATACCAAAATTACCTTTTGAATGAAAGATCGGAAGTTATGACATAATTTTAATATGTTCCTTCTGAATTCATATGAAGTGGGATGAAAAAAAATGTGTATATTTCATGCAAACCCCCACCGATACATTTCCAATATACTTGATAATCCTATCCTCCTCCTCCTTCTCCTCCGCCTCACTACCACACCCAACGTCATGCGCTTATTCATTTATTTATTTAATTAGTTTATAGCGTTCATAATGTATTGTTTGTTTTTCCGTGTCTTTTTTTTTTAATATAGCGTTAGGAAATCAACTGACCGAAATCGGCTGAAGAAACCGAAATTATATGATTTGTTTAATTTCAAAGCACAACATGAAAACTATCAACTAGTCACCCGAATAATTTAAATCCACGTGTAACTGAAGAATAAACAACAAATGTCCATTAAACGGCAATTGCTTACAAACCATCAGATAACGAAGAAAAAATATACATAGGAGTAAACGAAGGATACTGGAAACATAGAAACTACGCACACAAAATATATTTTGCAAATAGTAAATACGCGAACAGCAAAATGCTTTCTAACTATATCTGGGAAATTAAAAACAAAAAGAAAATCTCACCAAAAATATCATGAAAATTAAGGAAAAGTCATCAACCTATTAACAATCAATCCAAAATCTGCAAACACTGCTTGCAGGAAAGGCAGCTATAATTACCTTCCAAGACCAAAACAAACTACTAAATATACGGTCAGAATTCATCTCAAAATGCAGACACAAAAACAAATTTTACTAAGTTGCTTAAAAATCGAAAACTGAAGTGAATAAATAAAATAAAAGTAAATAACCAAAAACAAGTAAAATAAATTAACCCAAATAAATAAAGTAAATTAACAAACCACTCCCGCCAAAAATAACGCACAATGCAATAGACTACCCCCAATGGAACAGTCTGTCGCCTCTAAGTGTTGACTTCAATGTTCATACACACACACACACACACACACACACACACACACACACACACACACACACACACACACACATATATATATATATATATATATATATATATATATATATATGCGTATATTTTGGTACCTTGTTTTCATTGAGACATAGTTTCTTTCTACTTATTTTGAATTGGATACTTTCATATTCCTGAATAAGCTCTTTGGTGTCGTTATTGAAGGACGAAGAAAATCGCCGTGTTGATAAATATTTCTTTTATTCCGATTACTTTCGACATAGTACAATGTCATCATCAGGGTATTGTTTATTACAAGATAAATATTGTAGCGGCGGCTAAGTTTTCATTTGAATAATATGTCCAACATTTATAACCATTTACATCAATATACATATTCGTAATTCAGAAAATTCTTGTCGAAAATGCATCTATAGTTTTTGATGAAAAGTATAACTGATATAATGGAATATGCATACACCTGTGTTCCCCCTCACTGGAATATGATTGGCTGGTGTCCGTCATAAATACCGACGGACGTGTAGGTACGACAGAGTCAAAAGAGCCTTAGTCTGAGAGCTAAGTCTATAACGACGCCCATTGGACTACGCCATTGCTCTACACTTCTTACTTGTGACGAAGCGTACCATTTGATTACTGCTACAGTATTCTACTTGGTTATAGTAGCCAAAACCACTTAGCTACTTCGTTCAAATATATCCCTTTCTGGGACATATCAATAACATAAACAAAAAATTCTTGAAGCTATCTATATTAATAAATTTTAACCAAACCTTCATCAAATTAATTATGAATATTGCACACATGTTTTAAAATGTGTAGAATAGATAGTTTGAAATGCCGAGGTTTGCACTAATAGTTTCGTTTTTCGTCTTTTTACCACACATTTCGTAAAAAATCTCCACACCGCACTTAGTTACCTCCCCCTAAATAGTGTCAGCGGTCACGCACTGACTCAGCGTTCGTCACTCCACATGTAAGAAATTCAACTTTCAGATGAACACAATAATTTTATCCTCGACAATAATGGACACTACAATACACTGATGATGACATTGTGCTATGTCGAAAATACTCAGAAATATGTATCAACACGGAAAAATAAGCTTATAAAAGGAACCCATTGAAAATAAGTAGACAGAACATGTTTAAAGTATTAAACAGAACATCTCTCTCTCTCTCTCTCTCTCTATATATATATATATATATATATATATATATATATATATATATATATGTTAACAGCATGTTTTCATTAAGACATGTCTCATTGAATAACTTAGACAAGTTTTGTCTATTTATTTTCAATAGTATCCTCTCATAAATACGGACAAGCCTCTTACTATCGTTATTAAAGAAAGAGAGAAAATTAACATGATACATATTCATTTATTCCAAGTACTTTCGACATCGCACAATGTCATCATCAGGGTATAGTTTATTGCAAGACAAATATTGTAGTGCTCATTATTGTCGAAGACAAAATTGCTGTGTTCATCTAAAGTTAAATGTCTTACGTAGGAACAAGGTGGAATTTCTAGGGTCCACCACGTTCATGCGTAAGGATGTAGACAAGTGGCCGTTTCGGACAACATTCATTTTACGAATTGATAGGAACGACTAGATCAACCCATAAATGTGCCCGAAGATACGGTAGCTTTTCTGCTTGTGAAAAAGACCTGAATGCAAAACCCTGTCAAAGGCTTTCGAGATGTTCACTGTTGCAGACTCTTTCCGCGATTATCGTTAGTACAGTGGCCTAAGAAAGGTTTTTAGCCAAGAGAAATAAACTACATCCAATTTCAAAATTTAATTACTTAATTCCTATTCAACAAAAACAAACAGTATTTGGAACTAGTATGGAGTAGGTCCTCCATTTGCTAGTTTCAGTTCTTGTATTCGATTTTTCATGGATTTGATCAAGTTATCAACAATCGTCTGATCGATATTTTCACACTCCTTTAGCAATGTTTCTTTAAGGGTTGCCACCCAGGAAGACTTCGGTCAAGGTGCTCTGACATGAATGCAATAGAGCACGTTTGGTGCTCTGTGGGATTCATTTCAGAATCTTGGGCTACCCATGGATTCCTTGCGATTCCTTCCAGGCTTTTTCTTCTGTGTTCGTATGACACAGCACTCCATCTTCTTGAAAAATGTTGGTTTCAATTCTCTAACATTTGACAATATTTTGGACCATTCAACCGATTTTCAACAAGAATCAGCTCAGATTTCCCTGCAAACCAGACAGCGTCCTACACCATTACTCCGATCCCTCCATGTTTCATGGTCGCCTGCAGACATTCAGTGTTCCAAGACTCATTCTGATTTCTCCAAACATAAACCAATCTCGAACTAGAATATTGGCAGAATTTACTTTCATCTGACCAAATTACAGACTGTTAAAATTCATATTTGCTCTCGAATTCTCTCACCAAGTCCATACGCCAGTTCCTGTTAACCTCTGAAATCAAGGCTTCTTTCTTACAACTCTTCTTTGATAGCCTAGCTCTTTCAGAGACTCTCACAGCATATGGCGACATTTGCATGCTATTGGCGACAACTTTGACACTCTGAGGACGATTTCTGATGACTTTCAATGCCCTTTTCGTTCGCTCAGACACGAAGCTTGGTCTTTCTGAAGGTTGTTCCACACGATAATAGACTTCTTCATTAAATTTCTTGACAATATTATTAACCGTTTGATGATTAACCTGGAAAACACTAGAAATTTCTCTATTTGACTTGTCACACTGATGACATCCTATTATTTGCCCTCGTTGAAATTCATCAATTTCCTTACTTCCACGAACTTTCATTGCAAGATATAAGTCAACTATTGTTCACAGATGAGAGTAGCTTGATACTAATACAGTATTGTCTGGAAAATAGAAGAGACGTTATTACACAAGCCGAAATTGTTGAAATCAAGGGTGGCTAAAAACTTAACTTAGCCCACTGTATGTCAGCTGTTGAAGATTATTACCTGAGAAAAGGCCCTGAGATGAGAGACGATGAACCAATACAGCATTGATTAGGGTCTTAAGCAGTTTCCCAAACAGAGGCAGAAGGCTATTAGGTTAATAATTCGATGGGTCAGGCGGTTCACCAGTTAAAAACTGGAACCACAGACGATGATTTCCATGACGCAGGAAAGCAGGAGGCAGTGGGGCATTGATTATACTGTTTATAGACTATTACATGGATGTCATCGGCTCCACATGATTTGTACGGATCAAGGTTACCATGGAAGGGGATATATGTATATCATTCAACAGAGAATCAGTTCCAAGCTGGAAGTTAAGCAGGGATACTCACGATGAGTGAATAGTAGCGTTTGAGGAGAATTTACGGGCAAAGCATTCAACATTGTCAGCAGCGGATGATAACACCTAAAATTGATTGAAGATGGGGGATACCGACTTTGTGCTTACTTCGTACCCTATTACAAAGACGGCAGTAATGAAGAGGGCTAAAGTTTTTAGAGGCTAATCGGTTACTCATTCTCTCAGCAAACAGGGACTTTGCTTTTTTGAGGACTTATATACATTTGTTACTTTCAGAGGCAAATAGGCGCATGATATGACGAGAGCTGTCCAGCTGGAAATAATGAAAGGCTTTCGAGATGTCCAATGCTGCAGACGCTTTCCACGATTAACGTTTGTATATCATCAGTTGATCTGAAGAAACGAAAGTCGTATTGCCTGAGAAAAGCCCTGTGATGCGAGACGATGAACCAATTCAACATTGATTAGGGCCTTAAGAAGTTTTCCAAACAGAGACAGAAAGCTATTAGGTCGATAG